GATGAGTCACGACGTGAAGCTCTCTCCGAGGCCCTCATGGAGATTTTGACACAGCATCGGGACTATGATTCCGAAACTGGAAGTGAACCTTCCACATTCAGTGACGAGGCTCTACGCGACCAATTAGCCGAGTTTATTATGCAAACAACCCGGCAGATCACAGAGCTACAGCAACGAGTGGAAAGACTCGAAGCTTCGCAACAATAGGTGATCAACCATGTTCATACCACCATTGGGTGCTTTGCAGCGGACGGTTAAAACAACGATTGTCGTTGTTGCCAATTGTGACAGTCAGTGCACTCACTTCATATATGTTTGGCATGCAGCGATTGATGCACTCTTTCCCGCAGCATTTTGCAAAACAACCAGTTGTGTTAGCACCATGGAACAACGCACCAGATCGCGATCTCCCACGGCATCACAATGGAGATGGCATTGGGCCACTAACGGCTCTTCATGGTGGCGTGAGTACTTTATCGCATCTCAAGAGTGGATACGAAAGCATTCGGAGCAACCTGATCAGCGTCCGACATCAACGACTCCTACCCAAAAGGAGACAGTATCTACTACATCAACTCCTACATCCAACAAGAGAAAGCGGTCAAGAACTCCGTGAGCAACATTGCTGAGTTGACAATTAGATGCACATTTGCTGCCCCTGGCAGCCAACAACCACACAGCAAAGCTGTGCTGCGAACTCCATCATCCCTGATGAGGTTCAACATTAAGAGCATCATGTTGAAAGGTCATGCCGGTCGGCGAGGTTGCTCAATTGATGTCTCTGTGTACCTCTCTCTCTCTCTTCTGAAGATCAGCGTATGCACATGCCTCAATGCAGTTGTGACTCCGCAGCCATTTCTCAGAACTACAGTTGTTGAAACATATTTAGGATCGCACACAGATGGACGAGGACGACGACAGCAGCCTATGGGGATCCGAAGAGATTGATGCCTTCCTGAGGAAGGATGACACCACCACATCCTCCCATGCAGTCAGTCACACACACAAGCAAAAAACAAAGCACACAACGAGGACAAAAAAGAAGAAAGACAACAAAGACAAAAAGGACAAAACAGTCATGAAAACAAAGAAAACACGCAACATCTCACCACCATCCCAATCCACAACACAGCAACGACGCCAACATCCACATACTACAAGACGAAAGAGGACACGCTCTTCGCATTCAACATCATCAGCGTCACCTACGGCAACGTCACACATGGCTGAGGACGCACACCGGTCTCCATCTCGAGATCCTTGGTCTTCTGACTCGATTGCACCTTACGATATTGTGCATCCTACTATTCAGCACAAGCGGTCCAAAACCGCTTGTGCAAAAATGCTGGTACGTGCAGGTTTTAGGTGTCGATGCCATTTCAAGATCATGAGTGACTGTCCCAACAAACTCGCTGTTGGACCCTAATTCTCAGGACGGATTAGGGCTGCAAGATCCGCTAAGCGTGACAAAAAGCCTGCGCATGCGAGTGTCAGGACGACACCACTTTGTTGTTTTGCCAGAGCACACATCATGTCCATGTTGATTTGCATTCCTTGTTCAAGCTTTTGTCGGTTGGTAGCAGCAAAAATATGACAAAGCGAAAGGCTGCCGAGGCCGGCCTTCCATGGTACTCCATGGCAGGACAATGTTTTCGGATGACTGTTGAAATTCCACCCGACCGCATCACCAGAGACAAGCACATGTTCTTACACGTGGTACTTTGTCTGGGTGACAACGTTCTCCAAGCTCGCAAGATCTTCTCCTACCGCATCAAGGAGATCACCGGCAGAACTCCTAAAATCCCAGCTTTCTTCTTCGAACAAAACCGTCGACGACTACATGATTGGGATTCAGTCACCACATTAGCCACGTTGAAGCCGGTGCTTTTTGTTAGAACCTGTTCGGATCAGGAAATACGACAATCACCCGATCGCTAGTGACAGCGAGAAAAGTGCGCCATTCACTCCTATTGCCGCGCATCAGACCTTTCACTCTACTTGAAGCATGTACGCCCCATTGGGGCTGTGTGTGTGTGAACCTCCCTAGCACATGGGAGCAGAGGGTCACTCCTACACTGTTTGCAATTTTTGCTTTTCAACATAATCAGACATTGGACATTTACCAAATCAACTGTTGCAGGGGCATTGGGCACTCCTTGGCAGACCCAATGCAACGAAGCTATGCCATGGAGTGGGAAGCAGTTCAGGACGCTGAACTGTGTACCTGCAAGCTGGGCCCCCTGAGGCAGCCAGATTAGAAAACGCTGGCCCCCTGAGGCAGCAAGATTAGTGCATTTACGGTTTCCACCTTTTGCTTGAGCATAAAGCTTTGCACGTTTGCCGCAATCTGACAAGCTTTTACAACAACATGCCTCTCTTTTTCCTCTTGCACTCGTACTCTTGGCCGAATCCATCAGTGTGTGTGTGTGTGTGTGTGTGTGTGTGTGTGTGTGTGTGTGCGCGCGTGTGTGTGTGCGCGCGTCTGTGTGTGCGCGCGTGTGTGTGTGTGCGCGCGTGTGTGTGTGCGCGCGTGTGTGTGTGGGCGCGTGTGTGTGTGGGCGCGTGTGTGTGTGGGCGCGTGTGTGTGTGGGCGCGTGTGTGTGTGGGCGCGTGTGTGTGTGGGCGCGTGTGTGTGTGGGCGCGTGTGTGTGTGGGCGCGCGTGTGTGTGGGCGCGCGTGTGTGTGTGTGTGTGTGTGGGTGTGTGTGGGTGTGTGTGGGTGTGTGTGGGTGTGTGTGGGTGTGTGTGGGTGTGTGTGGGTGTGTGGGGGTGTGGGGGTGTGGGGGTGTGGGGGTGTGGGTGTGGGTGGGTGGGTGGGTGGGTGTGTGGGTGTGCCGCATTTGCATTCAGAGAAGATGTGTAGAGTGTAATGGATGCGGACCTCTGCTGTCTGTGGGTTGGCCATCCTGCTGCCGGAACCCCATAGCATGCTACACATGGCTCAGCACTGCCTGTCATAGGCAGAACGAGGGCCAGGTTCTTGAGTCTTTCATGGCTCTGTGCATCAGCCAAACGATAGCAGCCGTCCAATTTCCAAAACCCACATCATGTGCCCATGCGCAGGACACAGCACCCGCTGTGGATCCTGGAATCAAAACACTTGCTCCTTGTCCTTACTTCTGCAACAGGGGCTGTCTGCCGTGTTGTGCATCGATGCTGTGCTGATATCTGGTCGACTAGACGATGATTTCTCACATGTTCTGCTGCAATCATTTGCCACCGAAAGTGGCTTCGAGCTGCAAGAGTCGTGACAGTGTGTACGTGCAGAAGTGTTGGACGGCTGTGGAGTTGAGCCCGCTTTCGCAGTACCGTGCCACCGCAGGCTCCAGACGGTGGCCGTGGCAATGACAGATCTCCGGCACCCTCTGCCACGGCCCAGCAGGAGACGTTTGGTGTCGCATGTGTGTGTGTGGGTTGAGATGTGCACAGTGTAATGGATGCGGACCTCTGCTGTCTGTGGGTTGGCCATCCTGCTGCCGGAACCCCATAGCATGCTACACATGGCTCAGCACTGCCTGTCATAGGCAGAACGAGGGCCAGGTTCTTGAGTCTTTCATGGCTCTGTGCATCAGCCAAACGATAGCAGCCGTCCAATTTCCAAAACCCACATCATGTGCCCATGCGCAGGACACAGCACCCGCTGTGGATCCTGGAATCAAAACACTTGCTCCTTGTCCTTACTTCTGCAACAGGGGCTGTCTGCCGTGTTGTGCATCGATGCTGTGCTGATATCTGGTGACTAGACGATGATTTCTCACATGTTCTGCTGCAATCATTTGCCACCGAAAGTGGCTTCGAGCTGCAAGAGTCGTGACAGTGTGTACGTGCAGAAGTGTTGGACGGCTGTGGAGTTGAGCCCGCTTTCGCAGTACCGTGCCACCGCAGGCTCCAGACGGTGGCCGTGGCAATGACAGATCTCCGGCACCCTCTGCCACGGCCCAGCAGGAGACGTTTGGTGTCGCATGTGTGTGTGTGTGGGTTTGCCGCATTTGCATTCAGAGAAGATGTGTGGAGTGTAATGGATGCGGACCTCTGCTGTCTGTGGGTTGGCCATCCTGCTGCCGGAACCCCATAGCATGCTACACATGGCTCTGCACTGCCTGTCATAGGCAGAACGAGGGCCAGGTTCTTAAGTCTTTCATGGCTGCGCAGACTCTTCCATGGAGGGCCGTCAAATCCCAATCTTCCAGTCCCAGCCGATGGCAGCCGTCCAATTTCCAAAACCGACATCAACAGCTTTTTTCTTGTCCCTACTTCTGCACACACTGGGCTTCCTGGCCCGCCTGCTGCATTGTTCGTGTAGAACGGTGGAACCGTCAGTCACTAGTCAGAACACCTCTGAAGATTTGGACACATGCAGAGCTGCGGAAAGGTCAGGCGTCAACAATAGCCTGGAAAATGAAAGGATGGGAATCGGGCGTGAACCTTGCATGTGCAAAGGTACTTACATTTGGGGGCCCTGAGGGAAACTGGGAGCAGCAACCTCGTAGCAGTAAGCAGGTGGCAAGTTTCGTTTGCAACACCTTGAAGGTTGTACAGGAATTCTGTGAACGAGTCAGACTTTCGCAGCTGTTCGAGATGTCTGAGCTTGTCCAGGGGAACCGCACAGCGGTTTCACAAGCAGTAAGCTTTACGACATTTTACCACGGAAAGTGGGCAAGCACAAGGAACCGGACCCTGGAAGGGCCTGATGCACGAAAGACAGCCGGAGGTTTGGTGCTTGAAGTAACGGTTTGGCCTGTCAGGAATGCCCGAATCCGGATCCAAGTCCGCAATATGTCCAGGTGGGGCTGCGTGGTGCCAGTCTGTTCGACCAAGCGTTCGTTCTTCTCCTGGCAGGTGATACAACACAAACTGCAGGCGCTGCTTTCCAAGCATGGCGCCGGTACAGTCAGCATTGGAACAGAGGAGGCGATTCAAGTCCTGAGATGGCAGAATACAGGTCGCTGTGAAGAAATCGGGAGGCAGCTGCTGAGCTGGATACAATCACAATGCGCTGCGATGGATGCCGGCGAGTCAGTTCGCCAGAGCCTTCTCAAGGAGTTCGAGGATAGCATCAAGGACATTTGGGCGCCTCCCGCTGGCCAGAAGCTTGGTGGTTCTGAGGCGCCCTGAGCATGTGTCAACCCTGCACCAATCACTTGTTTATCCATTGGGAAATAAATCTCGGCCTCTGGGTGGAAACCGATGAGCACTACATGGAACATACCCGCCTCACAGATCCGGAATATGTGGGCCATCTTGCCCCTTCCCCCCTGCGATCTGTGCCCGTACGAAGGGCGGGGAACAATAAAAAACCACAAGAGCGTTCTTGTAGCACTAGTGACATCTCCCGGCCTTTGCTACAGTCGAATCACTGTCGAATCCAAAACTCCACATGTGCACAGCGAAGTAGTGAGGACCCCGTACGTAGTGGGGCAGGGCTGCAAATTCGGCTTTGCAGGAGCCGTTTTTCCAGCGACAACAACGAGGCCGACACTGCGGGATGCACGCTCTCAACAATATTCTTGGAGGTAATTTTGTCACACCAACTGACATGATGGAAGCTGCCAAAGCCTATTTGTCAGAGCAGGGACATGGTACAGGCGACGAGCTGGAGGATCTGGTTGAGAAGGATGGAAACTACTCGATTGAAGCCCTGGCCTCTGTACTGCGTGATAAAGGCTACAGCTTGGATTTGTCCGAGCCGGCTGCCACAAGCCTGGAAAGAGCAAAAGGCTTCCTGCAGCACCGTCCCGAGAGCACCACTGGATCGCACCACTGGATCGCATACCGATACTGTGCCGGAGCGATATGGCGTTTAGACTCTCTGATGGAGCGTCCTGAACAGATCACGCCTGAAGAGCTGGCGAAGGAGCTGTCTGAGAATCGCACCTTTGCGATCCAGAGGCCTGCCCATGGGTGATTGAACTGTAGCATTAGGAATGTTAGCTAGGATTGACAGGTTTTTCAGCCTCCCGAACGGGATGTGCCCGTGACTGCCCTGCCGCGAATTATGCCTCCAAAGGAGGTCTTCGTGGCCGTTGCAGTGTTATGGTGCTTACCTCACGAGCATCTGTGAGCTGGCGTTTGTGCTGGAAAATAAATCAACTGGAAGAGGACACTGTCCGACAAGATTCCTGCACGTGCATGTTTGAGCACCCGGATCAGTGCCGGCCTGCTGCTGGGAAGGCGCACGCCGCGACTGGCGGAGGACTGTGGCGACGGGAGCATGGACGCCGCACACATGTTACGCACGACATCCGGCGACAATATAGCCTTCACTTGGAGCGACGGCTCGCTCTGGGCACTGTCGCAACAGGGTTTGCTTTGCACTTTGAGGGTTGCTGCTGGCGTGCATGTATACCACATATAGATGTGTGCACATATGGGTGGTTGTAAAAATTATGGTTTCTCTTTGGGTACCCTAAATATTAGGTGCCGTATTATGATAAGGACCCAAAAAGGGACCCTAATATTGACAACCACCCATACAATCATATATATATATATATATATATATATGGCATATAGATGTGTATATATATATATATATATGCGTGCATGGAGTAAACGAATGAATGAATGAAGAATGAAGGAAGGAAGGAAGGAAGGGAGGTATTTATCTAGGCATGTGTTTCATGTGTTTTCGTTTGTATTTCTATTTCTCCATACCTACGCTTATATATATATATATATATATATATGTGCTATCCCCCGCGACGTACATACCTATGTGTTGTGTTTATCTTTGCATGATCTTCATGCGCATATGCGGTGGCGATGGGATCTGTATGGATCTGTGTGTGAGAGCATGACCCCTCGCGTCTGTGGGAACTGTGTGTGAGAGGCACTGTGACGGAGAGCACGAAACGAATGACAAGTAATAAGGACTGTTCGGAGCACAAGTGCAAACCAGGACCCTGGATGACGTAGTGCCGAATCGACTTGCTGAGCTCCGTACTTGATCACGAAACACAAGAACAGGGCAGGTACGTGGGGGGGGTGGGCACCATCTATGTATACATATACATATTTGTGTGTGTGTGTGTATATATATAAATGTATTTAGTTATATATAATATACACGCATATACATATACATATGCGTAATGCGTACACCGTCCTGCAATGGAGGACTTTTGCAACAGCTCTTCTCACGGCCTTCACTACCTGATTCGATCGCAGGCGTGTTTGGCCAATGGCTCTAGGGTCGGGACTTTTCCGACGCGTAGCATGCTCTCTTGAAGCACGGGCACTTAAAATGGTGCTGAGTTGCTGAGCTTCGAGATCCTCGCGGCGTCGGGAAGAACAGCTAGTTGCACGCAGATGCCTTGCGGGGGAAGGGGAGCATGTCAGGTTTATCTTCATGCTGAGGCTAGTCAACACGAGCTATGCAGGTTTCCAGACCAGCCCAGCATGAGGACTGTGCTTGAAAGCTGGCAATGCTGGCTCTGGGTGTATGAGATAGCATGGGACATTGACTGGAATGGCCACCGAATTCCAGTTGCAGCATAACAAAGTACACCGGACGCAAGACGATAGAACCATTCATCTCGATTTCTCCACCAGCGGAGCAAGATCTTGCACCTCCCAGGATTCATATATATAAATATATATATATATATATATATATATATTTATTTATTTATGTATATGAAAACATAAAGATCAAGATAAAACATAGATATACATATAAACAGGAATATGAATAAACCTATGAGTATGAACATGAATATCGATATAAATGTAAACTTAATAGGTAGGTATATAGTTCTATATACAGGCCATGTCTGTGTAAGAGAGTGGTATATGATAGCGATTCTGCTTCTGGATATATATTATGGTAATCTTTGTTTTTGCTTGCCGTTGTATTTCTTATAGTGACGTGTTCATATGCCACGAAATCTAGCGTAGCTAGTCTTTCGTTTCTATCTACGTGAGTAGTGACGGTGGGATGTTCCGAAAACTTGGGGAATAGGCGACTTCTCTCTTCTCTCGCTTTTAATTTATCTGGAGGCAGCCAGGCAGCCAACCTACCGTCCTCCCCCATATTCAAGTAAGATTGTAATATGATGC